TACACGGCACGGCACGTTTGAGGTGTTATCAAGCGGCCACCTCTTTTAGGTTGCTAAACGAATTATTAGAGGTAATACCAAGTTTTTCAGAAATCAGTTTCAACCTATCTCAATAGAACTACTAGTATAGTCGGCAATCCATTTTCATTCATATTTTACGCGTTGTATGATTTTTTCAACCATGCAACGCGTAAATTATAGAGTTGTTCATTCTGAAAGCGCGGCTTTGTTAAGAAAGCTTGATTTTCTTTTAGGGAGTAGATCATGCAGGATCCATGGATTATGCAAATTTGTTGGTTACGCAGATGCTCGTAAAATGAGCGATAGCATCATCGTTGCGTCTTGAGATTGGGAGAGCACTCGATCACACCGATTTCACTAACCAAGGACTTTACATGGCAGAGCACGAGAAAGTTGATGCTGCGCTTCTGGCTGGTGTCACGGGGTTTCTGGCCAAGTACAATACGCCAAACCACCAGCAAGGCAAGGCATCCTCTGCATTCAGCGACGATGAACTGGTAATAAATATAAACCAGCTATTAGCGGAGAGCGAGGTGTTGCTGTCAGCCATAGAAAACCTGCCGCAAGAGCAGATAGCTCCTGCCGTTCTCTCTAGTCTCAACGTTGTTACTTCCGTCAGTAGTCAACGAGACACAACCAAGACGGACCAACTTTTGTCTGATCAGAGACGGAAGCATCGGAATATACAGGCAGCTAAGCGACGCCAGAGATACCACAAGAAGGTCAAAGCCGAGAAGAAGATGCTACGGACGCAGGAAATGCTGCTGTTGAGCGAATTAAGCAGACTGCAAACTGCTCAGAAAAGGAGAAAATGCGCTACGCCGACAATCTGTCGCTGAGTGCGTGGAGAGCCATTGCTGTGCTTCAGAAAGAGAAGCGTCTCGAGGCTGAGCAGAACCACAAGCAACTAAGATCAGCTGTAGTCGAACGAGCGAGGGTGATACACCAAATGAAGATGTTGTTGCAACGTTTCAAAGCGGATGAAGGAAAGAATGAATCACGTGAAGACGGAGATCAGCGCTTCCTGTTCAAAGCTTTAGTTGGTGAACTGGACGCGATTTATGCTCGGACGCATCAGACCATTCGTGAAGCGAACTTTAAGATGTAACCAAAGCTGACGTACAAACCGATGCGGAAGGTTAACCAAGGTGTGGAGTATTTCGACAACACCGACGCTTCTGGACTATCCTTCGATTTCAATGACACAAGCCGTGCTATGTCATTGCTGATGACGACAGATTCGAGCATGATTCGCAATAAATGCCTTTCACAAGAAACGTTTCTCGGGGAATACATCCAGGAGTTTTTGATACACCTAAGTATTCTATAACAGCCGATAAAGCAGCAATACCTAGACAATGTATTAATCTAATTCGGATGTAGCTTAGAATTAGGGTTGGCAAATGAATGGCACGTTTAGATACGCGGTTGATTTGCTGCTTTAAAAAGCACGTTGCTTTTGGGTGTACCACAGTTACATACCGCGCTAGATTCGTAAAGTACAACCATACAATAAAAAAGATTAAACGTTCGCTCTCGATGTAAGGCACCCAAGCGGCTGACTGCGCGCTGGCTGCTGTTCTTCACGCTGACACTGTGTATCCTCATTGCTATCCACGCGTACACCTTCAACTAAGTGCGCAGTGGCGTCTTCGCCTACAACAAGTTATGTAACTGCCAGTTCTAAGCACTTGCAGACTCTCGAGCCTGTAAAGATCTCGTCCATGATACTGATCAAGATGCCTGGCCGAGGCCTTCATCGGCAAGGAGATGAAGAACATCGTTGTCACGGTGCCGGCATACTTCAACGACTCGGTGCGCCAGGCCACCAAGGACACTAGCGCCTTCACCGGGCTCAACGTGCTGCGAATCATCAGCAAGCCGACAGCCTCCACCATCGCATTCGGCCTGAACAAGATGGGCGACGAGCGCAACGAGCTGATCTTCGACTGGGCGGCGGCATCTCCGATATGTCGATGCTGAACACTGAGAAGGGCATCTTCTTGGTGAAGGCGACGGCGGGGGACACGCACCTAGGTGGCGAGGACTCTGATAACCGCCTGGTGGAGTAAGTTGAGCAGGAGTTCAAGCCCCACCACCGCAAGAACCTGACGCAGTACCAGCGCGCGCTGCGCCGACCGAACACGGTATGCTAACGCGCCAAGCAGAACCGGTTGTCGTCAGCGCAGACGTACATCAAGATCGACTCGCTGTTCGACACCATCGAGTTCAACTCGATCAGTACGCACGTGCGCTTCGAGAACCTGTGCAGCGACGACTTCCGCACGACGAATGACCCCGTGGGGAAGGATCTGCGTGCCTCATAGCCGCCCAAGAGCCAGTTGCACGAGGTGGTGCCTCGACACGAATCCCCAATGCTGCAGCCGCTGACGGAGCTCTTAACGCCGAGAAGCCGTACCACTCGAGCAATCCAGACTAGGCTGTGGCGTTCGGCGCGAAGAAGCAAACGAGCACTATTAGCGACAGTAACAACCCTCCGGGCCTGCTTGTTCTGAACGTGGCGATGTTGTCACTGTAGCCGCTACTGGATACGATTATGATATGTTACTTGGAATTCGAATTGTTGATGTTCTCGACGATGGCTGTGGGGACAAGAATGACGTGTTGGATCCGCGGATATGCTCACCATTCACAGGAGAACGTATTCGGATGGGTGCGCATTCCTCTGCGTCGGCTTCTTCGTCACTTGAGTCGTTTTCGTCACACGCCTCAGGGAACAGTTCGTACATGATATGGTTGACTTCACTGGTTGCCCCCAAGTTGTAATAAATGAACACCAGTTTGTTCACGCGGTCTGGGGAAAGCCGATTGCGATTTTTTGTGTGGATAAAACCGTGGATACTCCAGTTCCGCTCGCTGGAAGCAGAGGATGTTGGAATAGATAGGATGCGCGTTGCAAATGGCTTGATCGCGGAAAAACGCTTTGGCGCTAATATCCACCAATTTAGAGGTGTGTACCGCGCATTTTTCTGCTTAGTTGCTTTGCTCCACCTAGCCTTTTCCGTGGCATACTTTTGCAGCACCTTGTGAAAAGCATCTTCATCGTCAGCTGAAATAATCTGCATGGGAATGGAAAGCTCCACAGCTTTTTCAACCATTGTTGTGGAATCATCGTCGAGGGCATCCAATGTCAGATTTTGATCCAGTAAGGTCGCAACTTGGGCTGTCAGTGTGGACATTTTGGTTCGGCGGTTGCTGAAGATATCGACAACTGCACTCTGTACCGTGTTAGGGCATCCCTCCAAGGGCTTTGAGTACACATCAAGGGCCTTTAAAGTATCAAATGTGTTGAAGATTGTGGAGAAGCTGGACTCGTCGCGTTCAAATGCAGACAGTGAAGCATTGACCGGTTTGAGCAGCTCGAGGGCTGCTTCCGCTTTGTCCCAGAAGGTAGCATCACTGAACACTCGATCTGCTTCAACCAGTTCGGCACCTTCATAGCGTTTCCGTAAATCTTTGCGGGAGAAAAGAGCAGCAATTATGTCTTTCTTTTGAACGACATTCCTGATGCATTTCTCGTGTGTGTACCAGCGAGTGGGAACCGGGAGAGAAAGACGACGACGCTTTTCACCTTGCTTTTAACCATCTTTCCTCATTTGAAATTGCCGCTCGCGGAAGAGAGACCACAATCCGGCACGGTCCTTAAAAAAACCGCGCCAGTATTTTTGCGTCATTAACAACACTTTTGAAGTAATCCAGCTTCAGAATGTCTTTCATCACTAAGTTCATCCCATGCGCAGCACACCCAGCGCATGCAATATCTGGACGTTTGGCCTTTACAGCTTTCCATGCTTTTTTCGTATTAGGGGCGGTATCGGTCACAAGCGAAGATATTATCTTACGACCAACAGTCTGCTCAACCTCTGCAACCGTAGTCAAAATTGTGTCCGCAATGTACTCTCCAGTATGCATGTGTGCCACCGTGTTAATAGATTTCCAGAACACTGACGGAAAGCGAGGATTCACGAGGACAAAATTAACGATACTATCACCATTGATGTTGGTCCAACCGTCCGAAACAATTGCCAAATCTGATGCTTCTTTCAACAGCGATATAACACGATCTTTTTCGCGGGAGTACACGGTATTCAATAAATTACCAGACAGCTGGTGACGTGATGGTAACTTGTAGTCAAACATAGCTTGAAAACTTGGTTCTTCGACAACTCGGAAAGGGATTCCAGTAGAATAGAAACCCATAGCAACTCGCAAATAATTGTCCATCTTTTTGCTGGCGGAGAGCCGCGTTGATGCTTGGGCCCCCGCCGAACGTGGTGTTTTGCGAGCGCTGCGTGTGGCCGGCGAAGAGCAAGGAGTTGGGAGCAATTGCTTAGTTATTGAGTCAGCTTTCCTTTTCTTGGATTTGGGGGGCGTTGTAACCATCGTCGCCGTTGCGGCATGTCGACGGTCCACGTCATACTCTTTCCAGCGCAATAAGGTTTCTTCATCAACTTCGGGGCACGTCAATACATGTCGTAGCATGTTTCCCGAAGGCATCGCGTTCCTGATGTCAAATTTGCACGCGTTACATTGTGCGGCAGGGTGGTCTTTTTGCCCCTTAACTCGCGGCACGGTCTCGGTGAACAACTTCCAAATCTCGTGTCGTAGCTTCGGCATTGAGGTGATTGGGATCAGCTTCTATAGTAGCGGAGGTGACGTGTAGGTTCCGCGGATGATTCTGAAATGCCGAGAGTCCGCTTTGACCATGTGCTTTGATTGCGGTGGTTGAAGTCTGTGTTATATTTCGATTGATGTACAAGCTACCGCCGTTATATTTCGAATGGCATGTTTACATAAACTGAATATAACGCTGCCATTCAGCACGTAATCGTTCCATAACGCATATCTCACCTTACTTTGCCAACCCTACTTAGAATTAATCGTTATAATTACAATTCCGAATGTATTTTTTATGAGTATTATTTTTTAGGGATCCCTGCAAAGGTCTCCCCACAACCCATACAAACGACTTCAAATATCACTCTAACATGGTATGCCCGGGCTCGAGCATGGCCACATATTTGCACTAACTTTAATAATATCAATGTTAGCGTGGCTGGACAAGATACCAATGCGTGCAAATAGATATATTGTGCTTAGTAGCTTCAGCACGAGAGATGTTACAAGAGATGCTACAAGGCACAAAACACAAAGTTTGTGTTCAGCATTAGCTCATTAAAGCCATACCATGTAATGGTAATCCGATCACATATACAATTTAAATACCCTAATACGATATTACCGTATCAGTGTATTCATTGACAAACATACACAAAAATATCAGTTACACCCTATTAGATAAATCCAAGATTCGAGTTAGACAAGGGCATGCATAGATTTATCTGCTGTAGGCCTCAGAGTCCTCTCTCGTTGGCGGGCCTATACAATCGCCGAGGGGTTCTTCTCCGTCTTCTCGAGCAACTCGAGAATCGTGGAAAAATGCATGTTCGGGAAAAGCTCTTGGTGATCACGTCGCACCTTCTGTTGGTCAAAGCGCAGCTTGCCTTGAGGGGTGTACAGCTTGAATTCCGCCATAACCGCTATAAGTGCGGGGTCTTTGCGTCCGACGACCTCTTCTAGCTGCTCCACATCCTCAAAAATGATCTTCAAGTCGCTCACTTTCTTGGCAGAGGTCAACGATTCTGCCACCTTCAGCCACGTCGTCTCTTCACCTTGTACGTACGTGTGGTGGCGCCACTTGGCTGGACTTTTCAGCAGTGCAGCAACCGCTTTAGCAACGTCACGAACGCTGGTAAGAGCGAAGGGGCCGTTGCCCGATCCTGGAATAGTAAGCGTATTCGCCTGGATGTCGAGTGGGAACATGCCATCGATGTCAGGATGGTATCGGTTGGTACTTGAGACCATGTAGTCCATGACCCACCCTATGGACGCAACTGTCCACTCAAGATCGCTCTGGGCCTTCAGAGTGTCCTTGATCATTTTGTTGTAGGGGTGCACACGATCGGGGTCAGGGTAGTCCTCCGAATTGTGGCAGAACTCCGCTGGAATGAAGCGCTTGCACTTGGGTGTCTGCTTGCACGCTTCGACCAGAGCCAATTGACTGTCGGCCAGGCCTCGGTTCATGCTAGCGATCGTGGACACCAGGGCGTCGCAGTCCTTCAGCAGCTCAACGAGTTGTGGAACTGACTAGTAGTCAGCGATGCGCTGCTCGATTACTCCGGGTTTTCCGTCACAAAAGTACTTTTGCGAGCCAGTCAAGATAACGACCTCAAGTCCAGCCTTGGGGAATTCTTCAGCGAAGTACTTGGCAAAGGACCCGGCTCCGGCGATGGCGACGCGCATGGTGATGCTGGAGTTGTAATCGTGGTGCGTGGTTGGTGGTGTTTTGAAGAATGAGTATTATTTGATCGGTGTTCCTTCAGCTACTTACATTAGCGGTTATGCCAAGAAGGTAGTAGCTCATCCTCAAAAACCACTTGAACGCAGTCAACGATGATGATGGTGCCGCTCACTTTACGAGTACTCTGATTACGTAGACCTATTATAGATTAATTATAGGTAGAGCTTTATCTCATCTGTCTGTGATGGAGTGAATTTCTAGGCCTCTTCTATCTAGGCAGCACAGCCTAAAATCCTATCCGTTCTTCCTCTAGTTTTTTTAATGCCTACTTCGCTAGTCGATATAGGATTATATTTAATATTGGTTTCAGTATTGGATCAGTGGTTAAATGCATGGAATGCCTAGAGGCTGCAGGGATCACTTTTCTATGAGGGATCTTGGAGTTTGCGAGAGGAATCAACTCAAAGTACTGCATTGCCTGTAGCTGACCTTCTAGCGCGTAGTTAGACAACGACCCACGGTGGGCGCTTTTGACCCCTTTAAGTGGGCTAAAGTCACCTTCAACGGTATGAGTGCCGGGTGGAATTGAGGCCAGTCCCAGTGCAAACGAAACTTAGCGAGTATACTCGCCTTTTGCATCCACAAGCGTCCACGCCTGGACTACATCTCTATTGCACGACCTATCCTTGAAGGTCGGGTCGAATTCGTACGTTTCACTCAGCTTGCGGACTTGCTTCCAAATACAACTAATTACACCACTTCCGTATTGACGTCTGAGTCTGTTCCGGTAAGGACGTATCAGTTATCCGAACTCCGTCATGTCTTCCATAGCGTTTGTCAACACCGAGTATATTGTCGGCACTGAGTACAACATCAGCAACCACTCCGTCGCCATTGAAGTTGACTTCGCGAATTAATTCGACAATGCCATTGGGGATTTCGAGATGGCAGCTGTAAGTCCCACCAAGAAAAGAATCCATCATTGTTGGAAGATCGAAAAAAACTAAGACGCAAACGACTTCCTTTTGGTAGTGAAATGAACTCTTCATATTTAGTCTTGTGTTGATCTTTCATGTGGCTGATGATGTAGTCTCTGCGAATGGATCGGAAGGCTTTTTTAGTTGTTGGTTGTTTTCGCTTTTCATTTGTCAACAGGGCTTCGAAGGGACCAGCAGCGTTTTGCGGCTTTTCCTCTCTTCCAAAAGCAATACAAAACTTGCATAGCGCCTCTGACACATCTCCACTGAGTGTTGGCACAGGCTGTATACCAAGTTCTATCTCGTAGGACGGAAGATAGCGCTGACGAGGATCTGGCTGCTAGAGTTTGGCTTGTTTCAGCTTAAGTGGACGACGCTTTGGCCGTGGTGTACGCGTTTTTCCTTTCTTCTTCTGTGGAGACATGGTGCTCGGCAAAGAAAACTCAAAATGAGAGGAGAATAGAAGAATGAACAGGACGGGGCCGTTATGAAACCGACGGGGTACGAGTACATGTAGTTTGTATGGAAATTTGCTGGTTTTCAACTAGGCGTCCGCCAAAACTTCAATTAGGCACTGTGTTTTTTTCTCGCAACCCAAACGCTAGATAGAAGAGGCCTGTGAATTTCTTTTACATCCATATGTAGCAGCTCTGGAATGTTGGTACATGAATGCTTGATTTTGGCTGTACTGTACTTTCATGTGATTCAGGATTAGGAATCAAATTCTACTATATGTCGTGAGATCAGCCGGCCAAAGGAAATCGGCATCAAACCACTATCTGTGGTTTCAATCCTCGCGAGAATCCCCAACGTGTGGAAGAACCTATTGAACTTGCAGTTTGAAACAGCAACCAACTGGATCTGCAGGAGCCTGAGACCACAAGACTGCTACATATGCATACTGAACATTTAGCCGCTCAAGTAGTCGATAGGAGTACAATGTAGTGGCTAAAACAACAATCAGTTCTCAATTTTCCAACAACGCAACAAATACAACACCGCAAAGTCGAACGTCGACGGCCCTCATTCGCCCGAGTCCTTCAGTGCTATGCTTCCTAAGTGCTACTATCCAATAGAGCTAGACTCTATTGCGACACTAAAGCTCTATAGATTAATCATTAGATTGTGGTCCCCAGCTTGTAAGAAAATCAACGGAATCACATCTTTCTGCTGTGTACGACTTGAATACCAACTTAAACAAAGAGACAGAACATAACGACGGTTTGCGTGTATTTCCCAGCATGAAAACTCCCTCTTCAGGTCTAGAACAATTTAGTAACTCTCCATATTAGCTGACATTTGTTGGGGTTGTACTCGTATAGGGCCTGGGTATAAATCGTGTTTTTTTTTTTTAGTAATAGCAGTACTTTTATCATTGGGGTATGATACTTTCTGTCTGCACAACAACAGTCGGGAGGCATTACACCTCCTATGAGCTGGATAGCAACCACTC